CCCTCGCACGGCCTTGACGACAGTGAAAAGGTCCTCCACATCGAAGTTCATTTTCAAGGACTCTGCCTTCCAGATGTTTCATAAACCAGCCATCCCCTGATAGTCCCCGTTCCCAGAGGTCAGGAGAGCACAGATTCCATCTACTCACAATCTGTTCACAAAATAAACAAATATAAGTTTTATGGGGTGACTAATTTGTACAAATCGCCATGGGAAAATCGAAGAAGGTTCTGCTCATGGCCATTCTTCCCACTCTTAACGAAATCGTGCAACTGTGCCAACTTGCTGAATTTTCACATGTCCTGCTAAGAACTCTGCAGGGAGGCAGACCTCCGCGCTTCGCTTGGAGCTCCCGTCTGGGAGGCAACATACAGAGACTGAGAGTCCGAACTCTGGAGCCAGACAGAGCTGATCGAATCCTGCCTCTGCTGCTTACTAGCTGCTGTTTAACCTCTTCAGTCTCTTTCTCAGCTGTAAAAGGGGGTGATAAAAGGACCCGTCTAAGAGGGCTGTCACAGATGAAATGAGACCTAGACCCTGGCATCACGTTGAGAACACGTGGCCTATGTTAGCCATTATGTAAGGGACCCACATCACAGAGCTAGTAGGCAACCCTAGGCCAACTGCTTACACTACCCCTGTGTGCTCCAATGCAGTAGCACTAGCCCATGTGGCCAGTCAGCACTGGAAATGTGGTCTGAATTGAGAGGTGCCATGAGCGTAAAACGTACACCAGATTGTAAAGTAATATCTCACTGATTATATATTGAAATGATACTTTGGATTTAGTGAGTTAAAAATATATGTTATTAAGATGAATTTCACTCATTTTTTACGACCTTTATAATGTCACTATTAGAAAACTTCAACTTTACATTGTATTTCTATTGGACAGCGCTGCTCTGTTCAGACTGCCTAGTTGGTGGGAGAATGGAGAGCATTCCAGGTCATAAGAACTGCAAGATGAAACTTGAGAATAATTGTGCATGCCTGGGGGACAGTGTGAGTGGCCTAACTGGAGTGGGGGTTTTGTGTTAGTATCTAATCATTGCTACCACTTACCAAGTCCTTATTAAGTACAAAAGTCCCTCCTGGGGGATACCTTCCAAGACCCCCAGTGGATGCTTGAAACCATGGATAGTACTGAACCCTATATACACTATGTTTTTTCCTATATATACATACCAATGAAAAAGTTTAATTTATAAAATAGGCACAGCAAGAGATTAATAGCAATAACTAATAATCAGATACAACAATTATAACATACTGTAATAAAAGTTATGTGAATGTGGTCTCGTTCTCAAAATATCTTATTGTACTGTACTCACTTTTCACTTAAAGGAAGCACTTTCTGGCTTCTCTTTGTCATATCGAAATTGCCAGCATCACTACTCCTGCACTTTGGGGCTATTATTAAGTAAAATAAGGGTAACATGAACACAAGACTGTGATACCATGACAGTCAATCTAATAACCAAGGTGGCTACTAAGTGACTAAGGGTGGGTGGTGTATAGAGTGCAGATAACGCTGGACCAAATGGATGATTCATGTCCCGGGTAAGAAAGAGCAGGACAGTACAAGATTTCATCACACTACTCAGAATGGTGTGCAATTAAAACTTATGAATCGTTTATTTCTGAAATTTTCCACGTAATATTTTTGGGCCATGATTGACTGTGAATAACCAAAACTGCAGATGGCAAAACCAGAAGTAAGGAGCAATTACTGGACCCAGCATTGTTCTAATATTTTAATTCAGTTACTTCTCACAACTATTCTTTGCAGCAGATACTAATATTAAATAAACACTCCTCCCCCACCCCTTTTTTTACAGAGGAAATTAAGGCATAAAATGACTAAATAACTTGCTCAAGGTCACACAGCTGATAAGTGGCGAGGCCGTCTTGGGTTGGTAGGGGAAGGCTAGATTAAGAAGATCCTAGATAGTTAATGAAAAATTGGGATGATAATGGCTGGGGAGCTCTTCTCCATCCTTTAGCTTGCTCTCTGACCACCTCTCAGTTGTTCTACTGATAAACATCTCTGCTCACAGATATTCAGAAGAAGGCAGGAAACAAAAAAATTGAGGTTCTTCCTTTATGAACAACTTATCAGACAAGGAAATAGAGTGATTTTTCTGAAAGAAGATGCTTGGATGATATTCAGATTTGTAGGCAAGGTAGTGAGTGCTTGGCTAGTTTCTCCTTAGAAGGAATTGTTGAAAGCCATATAGAGTCCTAAGCCCAGTAAAAGATGTTTCCTTGGGCTCACCATGCAGACCAGTAGTTTGTGGGGCCCGTATCTCATAAAAATGCACGGGTTTGGAGAAGCAGTGATCTCAGGGCATGACCACTGGAGGAAGTAGAATTTGTTTCTCTTTTTTGATATCTTTTCCCTAAAGATGGACTTCTCATGTAAACTAACTTTGTCATCAAAGAGAAAACCTCAGTGAGTGAAAGAAAACACATTTAAAAACTCAAATTAGAATAAAATCACTTCACAAAAGAAAGCCACGGGGAATACCCTAAAGGTAAAGTCAGAAAAGATGTGATCTTTAGATAAAACACTCCTGTTATTCTTTGCTAAGCTTCCCTGTGGCATTTATAGAGGAAATGACCGGTAACTGCCCTGGATGCCATTGTTTACCCACAGCTACCGGCAAATATCTGCAACAATCTTCATGTAAAAATTACAGCTCCCTGCACCCTGCCTCCACAAGGGTGATTATTTTGTATTTGTTCACTTAATGCAGGAAAAAAAAACTACATTTTCAGCAAATAAGAGATTAAAATCATTAACCTTTAATTTCATTATATAGAGTGAGAGAGGAAAGCTCATGCAGATTGAATACCAGTTCAAAACCTTTAACATTTTGCCTCTGATTTAGTCATGGGTTTTGCATTTAAATGTTTTTAGAGTCTCTCAAGATACAAAAGTGCAAAGGTGAGGTTGGGAAAGAGATAACCAGGCAAAAGTATTGTCTTAGATCACCCCCAAAGAATAGCTTTATCTTTTTCATCTAAAGAAAATAATTTTATTCTAAGTACAAAGTTAAATCACCATAGCAACACTCACCTGCCAATTTTTCCAACAATGAAAAGGCTAGAGGGAGAGAAGCAGGCTAAGAATGAGCTGCCATCCCAGGTAAAAATGGGCAACCACTAGGAGGGTGGGCACTGCAAGCACTTTCCAAATAGTGGGAAAGGGCTGAGTTGGGCATCTTGTTTCTCAGGAGATCAGTGGAACACCTTTGGAATGTGGCTGGGCAAGGGAGTTCAGTTGGGGAACATGTAATGTGTCACCAGTGACTACCCCCATCCCAGTCAGCTGATTCAAGTAATCAAGACTCACTCACTGGTTCATCCGGGTGGAAAGAAGCATCACCACTGGCAAGGCAGAATCCAGCCTGGTCACTAGGAACCTCAGAGGTCATTTGGTCTGAGTGCCTGAGGGCTTTCAAAACTACATGCAAGATTTTATGTGCAAATATCATCTCGTTTTTCTAAGCAAAGTGTCCTTACTTCTATCAGGTTCTCAAAAGCTTTAAGAGTCATTGGTCTAGTTGACTAAGAGTCACTCATTCTACCCATGTGGACACTGAAGGAAATAATTTATCCAAAGTCACAGAACCACTGGGTAGTATATTTTTCTGTTTTATTTCCTTTCTTTCTTTTGCCATTTTAACCACCTCTCCCATTGCCAACCTCATCTTTAGTGGACAATCATTTTTCTTGGTACCATCAAACCCAGCAGGTAGCTGTCTTGGGTTCGTCAATTGGCAAGTGTTTAATGATTATCAATGAGGTATCCATCACAGAAGCTATATTCTGGAGGCTCCAAGGAACTATAAACAGTTCCATTCCCAGGGAGTTTATGACTAATTGGGAGATAACACATCTAAAGATCAGTAGGAAGCTGGTACAAAATAGCATATTTTAAGATCTATGTTTGAATGGGTAAATGTGAAGGGAAATTTTGGGGAAAGTCTACAAGTACCAGGAAGAACTTAAGTTAGATTCTGAATGCATTTCGGTTTGGGTAACTGAAAAGGAATAGAGAATCTGTGGTGAGGGAGGGACAGGTGCAACATGAGCTCTATGTATCATGTGCACATAGAAGACACTCAGTAGTACCTGTCTGGTTGAATATATGTACTTAGTGAGTATCCGATAAAGGGTGATTGAGCTGAATTGAAATAGCTTCAAAATTTGACCCTAGGAATAACAAGATGCTCTAAACCAAGGGGTGACAAACTTCCAAGAAGCTTTCAGGTTTCATAAATCAAGTTTTACTGGAACACAACCATGCTTGTTTGTTCAGGTATTGTCTATGGCTGTTTTCCTGATACAATGGCAGAGCTGAGTAGTTGAGACAGAGGTTATATAGCTGACAAAGCATAAAATACTTACTATTGGACCCTGTGAGAAAAAGTTTTACAACCCCTGGTCTGAAACAACAATCTTTTACCTTGTTTGTGCCACTTTGAAAGTCTGAGGAAGCCTATGAACCCTCTCTTGGAAGAATATTTTTCAATGAATTAAATAAAATACATAGGCTCACAAAGAAAACCAATTATATTGAAAACAATTATTAAAAAATATGATATACTCATAGATGTACTTCTTTATTAATAAGTTAAATAACAATACCTAGCAATTGATTTAATAACTACAATAATTTTAAAGTGGTGGTAAGCATAGCTGGTATTTTGAGATATGTGCAACAATTGTAATGGGATAAGAAAAT